CTGAGCTGAGGCTTGGTCTCCTGCATTTCTGATGAGCTCCTCGGTGAAGCAGATGCTGCTGTTTCACAAACCACACACCAAGTCCACAGGACTTAAAGTATTATTCGACATGATTTTATTTTGTAATGTGCAATAATAACCCTTGTCATCAGTGAAATGCCTCCATTTATTGAGCACTAGGCCTGCTCCAAGCACTCGTAAGAACTTTTCATTTATTACTAAGATTACTCTTTGCAACAGTTCAGGTAAATATGATGATCTCTATTTTTGAATGAGGAAAACAGATCACAGTTATGTAAAATAATTGACCCAAAGTTACACAGTGAATATGGGGTGGGTGGATATATAGCAAAGGATCCCTGAGAAAACACTGAGAAATTAGGAAACAAAATCACATGCCACTCGTAAGTACATCACTCTAGGACTGTGATTGACAAATGCTTCCTATAAAGGGCCAAAAAATAAATATTTTGGCTTCAAGTGGTAGCTACTGCACTGCCCCCAGCACTGCAGCAGCAGCCGGCACCGGGTGTGCATGGGTGGGCAGGGCGCTGTGTTCACACACCCGTGGCTGCTGGCCTGGGCGCAGGGTGTGACCCTTTGCTCCATGGTAATCACGGCTGCCTTTAAGGCTAGTTATGGCTCTGAGGTTTATTTATTCATTTATTTATTCTTTTCTAAAAGCTATAGAGTAGTAACGTGATTAGGTGGGAAAATATAAATACAAAGTAATTTTGTGTGCCTTATACAAGTATATGCTGTTAGATAAGAGATTTCATTATTAAAAGTGTGAATCAATAAAATATTGAATCTATTTTGCATATGTGTCTTTTCAAATGATAGTAGCTTTTCCATGAAATGTGTAAAATCTGTAAAAGTGCCAAGAAGTAATTAAAACGATCCATCCTTCCAGAGACAACCACTCTGTGAACTTTGGAGAATTTGCTACTATTTGTTCCTTTGTATACCTTTATGGATTTGAGAGTTTACCATGTAAACCAGTTCTGTGTCCCTGCNGCTGAGGCTTGGTCTCCTGCATTTCTGACAAGCTCCTCGGTGAAGCAGATGCTGCTGGTTCGCAAACCAGACACCAAGTCCCCAGGACTTAAAGTATTATTCGAGATGACTTTATTTTCTAATGTGCAATAATAACCCTTGTCATCAGTGAAATGCCTCCATTTATTGAGCACTAGGCCTGCTCCAAGCACTCATAAGAACTCTTTATGTGTTACTTATATTACTCTTTGCAACAGTTTATTCAGGTAAATTTGTTATGTTCTCTATTTTTGAATGAGGAAAATGGATCAATGACATGTGAAGTAATTGATCTACAGTCACACAGTGAATCTGGGGAGGGTGGATATATAGCAAAGGACTCCTGAGAAAACACTGAGAAGTAAGGAAACATAAAATTAGATGTCACTCGTAAGTACATCACTCCAGGACAATGACAGACAAATGCTTCCTATAAAGGGCCCAAAAATAAATATTGTGGCTTCAAGTGGCAGCTACTGCACTGCTCCCTGCACTGCAGCAGCAGCCGGCACCGGGTGTGCGTGGGTGGGCAGGGCGCTGTGTTCACACACCCATGGCTGCTGGCCTGGGCGCAGGGTGTGACCCTTTGCTCCATGGTAATCACGGCTGCCATTAAAGTTAGTTATGGCTCTGAGTTTTTCTTATTCATTTATTTATTCTTTTCTGAAAGCTATAGAGTAGTAATATGATTAGGTGGGAAAATATAAATACAAAATAATTTTGTGTGCCTTATAGAAGTATATGTTGTTAGATAAGAGATTTCATTATTAAAAGTGAATCAATAAAATACTGAATCTATTTTGCATATGTGTCTTTTGAAATGATATTAGTTTTTCACTAAAATGTGTAAAATCTGCCAAGAAATAATTAAAACGATCCATCCTTCCAGAGACAATCAGTCTGTGAACTTTGGAGAATTTCCTACTATTTCTTCCTTTGTATACCTTTATGGATTTGAGAGTTTACCATGTAAACCAGTTATGTGTCCCTGCTAATGTGTGGTAAATATTTTCAATTTTACTTATAATTTTTCAAAAAACGTCGTACTAATGGCTGCATGGCATTTCGTCACTTTACAGCCACACAGGTACGGTATCCCTGTCCCTCCTGCTCATCACTTCAGTATGTCACCAGCTCTGCATCCCCATGAATATCCCAGGGGTGTGTGGAAAAGTCGAGGTGGCTCCTCCTGAGATCTGACCCTGTGTGGCCACCGCAGTGGACTCTGCACTGCTCTGCAGAAGAAATGAAATAACCTGTGGAAAGGACTCAGCACGGATGTCCTGTGCAGCTGAATCTCCTCTTTCTATTCACACCTGTCAGGAAAGGGTGGATGTTCCCAGACTTTGTATCCTATGACGATCCTCTTCTCACCTGTGCTCCTATGTGCACGTTAGGTGAGAGGCAGGTCTGCTGAGACTCAGGCACTGGGGACATCTCCACTGTGGAGCACCAGGGCCAGGAGTCAGGATGGGACTGGGATACACACCCCAGAAAGACGCTGCTGTGGAGCCCCCTGTGGTCCCCTCATTCGGCTTTCAGCAGCATCTCTGCCCCTCGTGCTACAGCTGACCCTTGGAAGGGGGACATGGAGAGGGAGCATGTGGCAGTTATGTCAAGAGCTCTACGTCAACCGCACTTGTGGCAAGTAGGTGGTAAGACATCCGTGTTACTAAAGGCAGCGGCATTAGGAACATTTCCAAAGTGAGCGTTTTTCCTCATTCACCTCCTCCTTGTTTGGAAGTGGACAAGGGAGGTGGGAAAAGAGTTTTGTGGTTTTACATTTTACGTTTTGTTTCACAATTCTCTGAAAGTTCTCTACCACTCACCTATTAATCACAGAATAAACATAAAATAATCCCATAATTATTTTTATTGTATTAATTTGTGAGGAATATCACACTTGTTTCCTCATAGATCCAGGGGGCATGAATTATCTTTCTTTCCAACAATCTGATCGTATCTTACTCAGGATTGTGGGGTGTTTGGGACAGAATCCTGGAGAATAAGGTCATGAAGGCAACTGTGCTGCATGGGCGTCACCAGCTGTGCCCAGGGGCTCTGTTCCGATGGAGCCATGAGCGTGGAGTGACCGCACCCTCTCCCCCTGGGACAGAAGCCTTGTACTTCGGTCTCTCAAGTGCCATAAGTAGCTGATGGTTTACTTAGAGCTTTATGGGCTCTGGATATCTTCAGGATGGCCTCAGGGTACTCATAAATGTCATGAGATTATTACATTTGACAGATCATTCTACCTCTGAAAACCTCCAATGCTCATGAAAAATAACAACGGGAAACACTTATGTGGCATGTCCACCCCTCCCCTGGTGTGCACCCCTGCCCTGCCTTCATTCAAAAGCATTCAGTCTCTTGAAATCACCGTCTGTGCAGTGAACTTATGGACAAATGGGTTTTCCTCTGAGCCATCCACCCCATATTGTCAGAGTTTCACGACAGACTAATTTAGTAGGAAATAGTGTCAAATATAGTCCTTCATTTGGACCATAATTGCTGCCACCTCATGGGTCTCGCTGTAGCAGCAGAATCCGAGAAGTCTTTCTGCAAATTTCCAGAAGCTCTGCAGGGACGGGAGGCCCAGGCTGGTGCCCTGTGGAGCTACCCGCTGTGGTTGCTCACAGTGACAAGGATGTGGGTTGGCACACACCTGCAGAGTTTCTTGTGTAGGTTATTTCAGCAATTCTAATGCTGTGCTCATCCCAACGGGCACAGTAATATGTGGCCTCATCTTCTTTCTCTAAAAAACTTATTTTCAAGGTCGCAGTGGAAGTGCGAGAATTTTTACTTGCCTCGAGTTTGTTCGTCTTCCCACCTAAGTGACCTTGAGCAGGGGTTGTCGAAATGTATATTAGGTATTCTAAACCTTGATTTGGTTTCTGCCGGTACCAGTATATGACTACAGTTTTAAAGCTTTGGACGGACACCTTACAAGGTATTTGGACACTCTCGCCTTTTGCTCTGGAAATTGACATTTCAGGTTGCTCCAACCGCCCAAGTCCACCTGCAAGCAGAGAAGAGAAATCCCCATGAGCAAATGACATGTAATGAGGCCATAATGAAGAGTGACTTCAGTCTCTCCTGTAGACTGAAATGACTGGGGGCTACTCACATGCCCAGAGGGCAGAGGAGAGGACCAGCTCCAGCAGCAGCATCCTGCCTCCCAGGCGGGCTCCCCAGCACCCGTTAGCTGGAGGTCGCAGGCCAGTGACAGGCACGCAGGGCTGTTCTGGTGTCTCCAGGGAAGTGGTGGGTGAGGTGGCTCCCTGGGGCTTTTTATGAACTGCTCCAGTTCTGAGCAGTTCTGAGGTCTCCTGTACCCACCAGTGCTGGGCAGATGGGTAAGTGGGATAACCATCTGGAAAGAAATCCCTGGCATGACTGTGCACATCTCGAGGTGGGGCAGGGCTTGTTCTGTACCCGCTCAGTCATTCCCTGACATCTGTACTGTGGAAACATTGTTTTGGAAATATGAGGACATACCTGCTGTGTTCAGTCCCTATGTCTATATTTGTGTGATTTGCTGTTGATTCAGGACTCACATAAGAAGGTTGACCTTTATTTTTCCATAACACAACAACAGAAAAACAGTTAGATGCTGGAATATCTCATTGATGTTATTTAATATGCCATATACACAAGCACTGGGGTATTCAGTGTTTTTGAAATCAACTGAGACGTCACCAAGCAGCTTATGACTCAGAAAAATCAAATTTTTAGGGCTGGCCAGTTAGCTCAGTTGGTTAGAGTGCAGCCTTGCAACACCAAAGTCAAGGGTTTGGTTCCCTGTGCCGGCTAGCCACCAAAAAAAATAAAAGAAAAAGAAAAATCAAATTTTTATTTGTAATCCAGATGCATCCAAGAATAGACTAGACTACAGTTGCTGGCAGATGTGAGACCTGGCAGATGTGAGACAGAGCAGCAAGAATAGACTAGACTACAGTTGCTGGCAGATGTGAGACAGAGCAGTCCGTGGAAATCAGCTTCTACTTGCCCAGGACCTTGGAACTGTGTCTTGAATATCTGTCACATGAAGGAGTATTTTCAAAGAAATGTTGTGTTTAATGTGTAACGATAAGCTTTAAGATTAATTTAGCATCTAATGTCCATAGAGGACTTGTTGCTTGTCAGGCATTATTCTTGATGCGTTCTTATATTATTTTATTTAACCCCTCAACAGCCCTGTGCAGTGGCTGTTATGGTAATCTTTATTTGACAAATGAGGACAGTGACAGAGGTTAAGTGACTCATTCCAAGACCCAGATCTGGTACATATAAGAACTCAGATAAAAAAATAACTCTTCATTAAAGAAAATCTCAGTAAAATTAGTTACAAAAATGATAATAAATGGTACCTGTCATTATCTTTTCCTTTGAATTTTTCTCTGCATATTTATAGATAGAAGTAGAAATGCTTGGTATTATTTATACATATATATAAGGGTGGAATTTGCATATTTGGCTTAATATTTTCTTCTTTTGATTAACTTGTTATCATGAGCAATACTGCAGGTCTTTAAATAATCTATATGAACATTATTTTTAATGACCAGAGAAAATTAAACACACTTCATACCACTTAACCCTGTAGAATGTTGAGTGAGTTATCTTAGCTTTGTGGGCCTCAGATTCCACACGTGTCTCTTGCCTACATATACATTTCTTGGAGGTTGAGTGGCTTCTATTATCACACTACACATGGGTAATGCATAAAATGCTCAGATACTTGTACCTGGCACATCATGAGTCTTCCATGATGCCACCAAGTCTTGGTATTACTAAGAAAATAAGAACAAACTATTTTACAACAAAACTATAGTATCTCATTCAGGAAAAACATGTAACATTAAGAAAAGGACACAGAAGAAATGAAAACCATCTTTTTCCTCAGGAATAATAATTCTTCAAATTTTGGAGAATTCCTTTCCCTTTCTTAAAAAGAAATTCTTGTATTAATAAAGACATATTTTTAAGAGGTTATTATATACTTTATGAATCTTTCTTTATATTATATTGTGAACATTTTCTAATTATATTGATAATTCCACAAGGCATTTCGTGGGCAGAACCAAGGCTGCCCACACTGTGCTGAGCTCATCTGACAGCCCCGTGGCT